TTAATTGAGGTCCTGGGGAGATTCTGGGAATCTTATCAGACCCAAGATTGAGCTTGTTCCCCTCTAATGAAGTTTCTGACTTCCCAAAGCTAGAGTCAATGCACTGGAGAACAAATGACAGGATTCAGTGTGTTTGATTTTTCATGGGCCTTCATGATGAGGAAAAAAAAACAAACAAAAAAAAACCGTATAGCATCACTTTGTTGCTTTAGAGTTTGCCCAAAAGAGGAAGGCAGCATAATTTAATACTGAACATATAGTTACAAACTTCGTATGTAGGAAGCTGACTATGTTTTGGAACAGAGACACTAAAAAGTGAATGTTTCCATACATACTCAAACTGAGAGAAAGTATTGCACAGCGGGATGGGTTGTTGTTTTAGGGGCCTTGGAAATTTCTGAGAAATCAGAAAGAAAAGAAACATCTCTGAACATATGCCATGTATCAGGACAGGCACAGCTGTTTAAAACTCAATACGTTTTTGACACAAATAAAAATGTTTAAAGAGACGTGTACAGCATTTTTTTACAGATGAGAAAGAATGAATTGCAAAATATCACACTGAACTTGAGACCTTTTCCCCATTTTTTATGCTGCTTTGGCAAGAAAATCTGGAGAAATCTGTGGTATAGATTTTAAAGAGGTCATATGATGCTGCTAAAAAGAACATTTGAGACTTTAGTCTTTGCAACTTTACAGATCTTCTTTATGCACGAAGAGCTTGTAACACTTCAAAGAGAAAGGAAAAATTGAAATCGCCTCATATGACCCCTTTAAACATGAACTCAAAAATATTTAGGCCTAAATTTAAAGTGCCCCTATTATGGGTAATGAAAGGTTCATATTTTGGTTTTGGGAGTCCCCAACAACAGGTTGACATGCATGCAAGGTCAAAAAACACTTTCATTGTCTTATAACATTTATTTTAGGCTTTATTGCTCAACGACTCCCAAACGATTCGCTCAACGATTCATTTTTCCAAACCCCTCCTTTGCCTGACGCTAATCTGCGCTGATTGGTCCGATTGGTCTCATTTTCATTTCATCATATCTATAATTCCTGATAAAGCAGCGTTTGTGAGCGCAGTGCTGCTTTGTGTACAGCGTTACCGGGGAAACCGCTATTTTACTGCTCCAAAAGCAGCACCTAGTGGCAAAGAATGAATTTGCATTTTCATTCAGACCAACGCGAAAAGACCAACAAGTGGGCTGGCGATATGCTAATGTTTCATGTTGACGTCAACATGAAACGGCTTGGGATTCATTTTAAAAACGACTCGTTTCAATGATTCAGAGTCGACTCTTTCTTTTGAGAGACAATAACTTTATACGTGGTGCACTTTCAGATTTAAAACTTTGCAGGATGTTTTCATTCACTTAGAGCTGTGTTACACACTGCATGAAAGGTAATTTTCAAAAATCCATAATAGGGGCACTTTAAGACTTATGTATTTGAAATGCATATATAAGATTTTCATCCATTTGGATTACAGAGTTTTAACAAACAAACTGATCAACTTAATTTGATGCATATATTGTAGTCAAATTAAATGGGTAAGATTTCTGTAATAGTAATAAACTGAATGTGTTTTATACAATAACCAGGTTTATATATTTATCGTCAATCTATCCTGTTTGATTCAGTCTCATACATTTTAACTAACTGAATATTTATTTATGTACTGTAAATATGGCTAGCTATGGAACAAGCATTCCATAGCTAGCCATATTTACAGTACATACATAAATGTAACTGTTGTCACAATGAACAGATTTATGCTGCTTTTAAGCAATATGAATATATGCATTCAGAAACAAAAGATTATTTAAATAGATTCAAATAGTTAATAATAAACTATGCCAAAATGTATTAAACCGAACTGAAAGTGCAATGCTCATAATAGCTGAAATCATAACCAAATTAGCCAGAATATTAAATAAATAAACACACAAAGGGCGGATATTCCATAGCTAGCCATATTTACAGTACATACATAAATGTAACTGTTGTCACAATGAACAGATTTATGCTGCTTTTAAGCAATATGAATATATGCATTCAGAAACAAAAGATTATTTAAATAGATTCAAATAGTTAATAATAAACTATGCCAAAATGTATTAAACCGAACTGAAAGTGCAACGCTCATAATAGCTGAAATCATAACCAAATTAGCCAGAATATTAAATAAATAAACACACAAAGGGCAGATATAAACATTAACAACTTGAAATGGACTGATCTTTCTCTCTGTCTGCTGTCTTTGACGTCACGGCTCAGGATAGTCACTAGTGAAGGCTTTGGGAATGTGTGTGTTCTTGTGGTGCCATTAGTCAGTGTTGCTGTCATGACACCAGTTTTCCAGTATGTTCAGACAGCAGGAGCATCCTGCATCCAGCAGCGCCAACAGAGAAACTCCTACTGAGGTGAATTGGAAATCTAACGGCCTGAACATGACAGACACTCAAAGTTAGCCGTCTAAAGTCAGTAGAATGATGCTTAGCTGTTAATCTGACAGAGCAATCCATACCATCATCTTTTCCACATCATATGAAACAGTTCAACTGAAAACAGCAGGGCAGAAAGTTATGTTTTTATTTGTCACTCAAAACATGTTAATGGTTTTATTGCGAAACCCAACAGGTCCTGACCTGATCCTGTCAGATATGACAGTGTATAGTGCACGCAACATGAAATAAACGCACTGGTAGCATTCCAAAACAAAAACAAGGCTTGATTGCATAGCTGCAGGCCTGTGAGATGGGGAATGAAACTTTAACAACTAAGTCAAAAGTTTTTACAATTATTTGGAAGTATAAAAAAGGATGACAACCGTTTGCATTGCTTTTTTTTTTAGTTGAATTCATCTCCTTGTGTTTTGTGTCAAATTAATAGAGTTCAAGGAATAGTTCACCCAAAAATGAAAATTTGCTGAAAATGTACTCACCCTCAACCCTCAAGATGTAGATGAGTTTGTTTCTTCATCAGAACAGATTTGGAGAAATGTAGCATTACAACACTTGCTCACCAATGGATGCTCTGCAGTGAATGGGTGCCGTCAGAATGAGAGTCCAAACAGCTGATTAAAAACATCACAATAATACACAAACATGAAGCTTTTCGCTTCACAAATCATTAATCGATGGACTGGAATGGTGTGGATTACTTGTGGATTACTGTGATGTTTTTATCAGCTGTTTGGACTCTCATTCTGACGGCACCCATTCACTGCAGAGCATCCATTGGTGAGCAAGTGTTGTAATGCTACATTTCTCCAAATCTGTTCTGATGAAGAAACAAACTCATCTACATCTTGGATGGTGTGAGGGTTGGTATATTTTCAGCAAATCTTCATTTTGGGATGAACTATTTCTTTAAACTATCCACAACCTCTCATGAATCATGAGATGATTAAAACAAGTATTTCAAATAGAGGAGCACACTCATCCTAAATGTTACTAAATGTGCTAATAAAATCAACAACAACAGTATAAATAAAACTGTCAAATGGTCAAACAATGCATTGTTATGCTATTCGATTCATGAGGGTGCATAATGGGAAGAAAGCAAATGTGATATATTTGGTTCGACTTAAAAATGAAGAAATCATACTGAAAAGCTATTGATAAGCTATTGATGTTCTAACAGTTGTTAGAACATCAAAGTATTCAGTAAACTACAATAAAGTTTTAATATTCCAGTAAATCTCAAGTTATCTTAACCATTATTTAAAAGACCTACTTGACTTTTTTTTTAACAGTGAATCCCATTAGTTCAAGAAAACTTATACTGTTATAAAACATCAATGCAAACATGCAGGAATGACAGTGAAAGCAGCCAGACTCGATGCATTTGACCCCTGCAAAACATCTCAAGTTTCTCTACTAAACATCTGAGCTGTCATGCGAGTGTTTAGACAGTCTAATCAAAGAGCATCAAGATCCTCTGGAATGCTGAATACATCTGAAAAGTACTTCTGCATTAAACTGAGGCACGCAATGAACGTGATTTAACGGATCTGATGTTTACGCTTCTAGCCAGTCAAGTCATGTCATGCTTCACCCAGGAGGAGCTCAACGTGAACATTTTTGACAGTGTACAGAAATGCAATTATATGACAAGCTGATATGGTCTCTTTGCAAGCTCACATGCATGTAGAAGAAAAAAAAAAGCCTTGCTATCTTCAAGTCATGTCAGAATGGTCATATACAAGATGAGTGTGCGTGAACATTACCACATGGGTTATAACATACCACATCACATAACTGGAACTTGTGATTTACTTTAAAGGAAAAGTTCACCCATTATTGAGTTTGCTGAAAATTTACTCACCCTCAGGACATTTTAGATGAGTTTGTTTCTGAACACATTTGGAGAAATGTATAGCATTCCATCACTTGCTCACCGATGGATGCTCTGCAGTGAATGGGTGCCGTCAGAATGAGAGTCCAAACAGCTGATAAAAACATCACAATAATCCACAAGTAATCCACACCACTCCAATCAATTAATGTCTTGGGAAGCAAAAAAAACTGTGTTTGTAAGAAACAAATCCATAATTTAGATGTTTTAAACTTCAAATGATTGCTTCAGCTAAAATATGGGTCTATTAAAAGTTGTTATTGGTAATTGAAATAAAGTTTAAAAAAGGAAAATATAAATATTAGATAAAAAGAAAAACGAACAAAATCTGTCCATTGACGTTTCTTGGAGCAGCAATACATTTTTATGTATACGGACCATAGAATATACTGCACATAACTCTACGACTGCTACATGTAGTTTTCCATTATAGGTAAAATAAAAATTAACGTCCGTGTTTTGAAAGTGGCCGACATGAAATCAAAATGGATAACAAAATTTGTACAGCCTTTCCAAAACACATTTTCATGCACATTCAAGACCCCTAATATTCACCAACATTCAAGAAATTATTATTATGTCATATTAAAACAGGTAAATGTGTCGATTTAGCGACCCAATAAATACAGCTCACTCAGTTTGACTGAAATCCACATATTCAATGAGAATTTATTGTCACAAGCACAATTTCTCGTCATAAAGTTACACAAAAATAACGGAACACATTTACACAGTTTATACAATCCTAGACTCATTGTACAATTGACAGGCTAACTAAGTACTGAGAGTTAAATATGTACTCACATTGCACACAATGATATTAAACCTACACAAGTATATATAGCTGTATGTGAAATAAAACATGTTCTGACATAAAAAAATCACATTATTTACATTAAACATCCATTTGATTTCCAAAAAGGTGTAGATTTCATGTCAAGGTCTTTCCATCAGTCCAGAGTTGTGGCATGATCGAGAAAACAAGAAGTCCACATTATTAGTCCAAAAGTTAATAGTAAGAATCGCAGCTGCCACAAAGATTACAATGAACACCGCGAAATGCTTGAGATTTATGCTGCATCTGCCCATATGAGGCTGGTGACGATTACTTCACAAAGTGACACTGATGCTAGTGTTTTTGTAAGAGAGAAAAAAAAAATTGCAAATGCACATTTTAAATTCAAATCAAATACTGTTTTTGTCTTTACATCCGTCTACATTTATTATTAGTTAAGCTAGGTTACAGACATCACTACATAGACTACATTTAACACGGTAAGCGTAAAAATATCTCCGCGTTTTTTTTGTCAGCGAGATGCTGTTTGGCAATGAAAAATTAGGTGCAACAAGTGAAGAAAACCATCCTTCGCTTCTCAAAAGATTCTGAAAATACTTCTGTACGATAAAAACGTAAAAAAAAAAACGGCGTTATATTTATGTGTGTATGTGAGAACAGTCTTGACTTGAAGTTGCTGGCTGAATCCTCTAACTTTAACTTACAGTAATTTGACGTAGAATCCCGTGTCATATTCACATTTTGCCCAATCCAGGCATTAATTTGCCTGCTTTCTATGAATTTTAGGCTTATTATTGATGCTGCTTTATTATAAGTAAATGATGCCTTTGCATAAATAATCTTGCACTTTTACTGCTCACAAAATTGGCTGTAAATGCAAATTTATTTTATAAATGATGTTTGCGTACATTTTTTTGTGCTAATGGCAGCAGTTAATCATCACATGATGGTTAAATGAAAGAAGAGCATCAAGACTGGGAATATATTTATTTTGCTCTTAGCACTGTGTGTTTCTAACTGTTTGTGTACAAGTGATCAAGTCAAGTGTGTGTGTGTGTGTGTGTGTGTGTGAATGCAGAAATGTGTTTCAGCAGCGTCATGTGTGTCACATGTGAGATGAAGATACTGCAGTCCGAACCAAAACAAACAAACAAACTAACAAAAGAGTCTCAGATTACTCAGAGAACGGAGGGAACATGCCGAGGTCGGCAAAGTCTTCGATGTTGTAATTGGTTGCTCCTTGGGTGGGATCACCAGGCATCGGCAGCATATCCTGCGGGACAGAAACAGAGCGCGGCGTTAAATCAGAAAGGCTATGGTCAGTAGTGTAGGTGAATGTAACTATAAAGGCCGATTCATATAAAGAGATGCTACATTAGTGAATTTGCATGACTAAGAAAAGAATCAATAAAATAATTCAAACATCTGTAGGAAAGTTTAAATATTTCTTTCTCAAATAGGACGTGTCACACAAGGTTCGACATCAATGGCGAATTGTCATTGGTTTTTATCACAGCTCATCAATGACGCGCCGTATTTGAGATTTAGGAGCTATAACTGAAGAGACCATTTTCACCAAAAGAGTATTTACATTTCTGTCTCCAACACAAAACATTATTGTTAACTAAAACTTCAAATAAAGCTGAAATAAAATCACATTTACATTTAACACACTTATGCACAGATTTTCTCCAAAGTGACTAACATTGAAGATACACATTTACATTTGATCAATTCTAGCGAGAATATAAACAGAAAATAAATATAAATAGACTGTAAATATTAGTATATATTAATTTTTAAATGAATAAAAAATATGAAATATGAGAAAACAAATGAAAAAGAGAAACATTGCCCTGGCAACTAACTGAAATAAATTGTATGTTTAAGTTGAAGTACTAAAATTACTAAAACTGAAAAATCTAAGTAGAAATATAAAAAAAAAACTAAAAATTATAAAAATAAGAATGAATGAATGAATGATGCATTTATATAGCGCTTTATTGTGTATTGTTGTACACCCAAAGCGCTTTACAATCATGGGGGGGGGGTCTCTCCTCAACCCCCACCAGTGTGCAGCATCCACTTGGATGATGCGACGGCAGCCACAGGACAACGGCGCCAGTGCGCTCACCACACACCAGCTACAGGTGGAGAGGAGAGAGAGTCATAGAGCCAATCAAGTGGTTGGGGATTATTAGGAGGCCATGATTGACAAGGGCCAGGGGGGCAATTTGGCCAGGACACCGGGGTTACACCCCTACTCTTTACGAGAAGTGCCATGGGATTTTTAATGACCACAGAGAGTCAGGACCTCGGTTTAACGTCTCATCCGAAAGATGGTGCTTTAGGGTTGTGACGGTGAGGAAATTTTCCCACCGGTTAATCGATGTGTGACAACACCGGTAATACCGGTATCACCGCGGGGGCGGGGCGATCCCTCTTTTCCTCGCTTTCCTTCGCTTTTAAATAGCTTGTAAAAGCAGCGTGCGCATTTTACTTTCACTTTGAAACAGCGGCAATTCGGCATAAAGCATTTGTTCGTTTTTAGTTCGTTTGAATTTTCCCTCTTTTCCTCGCTTTCCGTCGCTTTTAAATAGCTTAAAAGCACCGTCTGCATTTTACTTTCACTTTTGAATTAGCGGCAGTTCGGCGTCAATTGCTTGAATGCAACAACAAAATACAACGTCAAACTCACTTTAGCGTATATATAAAACATAGAACTTTTATTAACAAAACAAATAAAAATGCACCATGCTATAGGGCAGGCTATGCCTAATATAAAATAACAAATAACTTACATAAAGTTTAAATAGGTATACAAAACTGGAAATAGGCTAAGTAAACATATGACGAAAGTGAAAGTGAAAAAAGTGACGTGACATGTGGCCCAGTATGGGACTCGAACTCGCAACCTTTGGGTTATGAGTCCGACTCTCTAACCATTTGGCCACGACTTCCCCTTAAAATAAAGGGGAAGTAAATAAATAAATAAAATGTATAATAACCGGTGTTGCGGCTTAACACCGGTATTACCGTCAGCACCGTCTATCGCGGCAAGCCTAGAACACATAGCAAAATTACTAAAAACTGCAAATATAAAAATAGCCAAATCAAAATATGAATAACTATTTAAGAAATATAATTATAATAATAAAAATAAACCAGAGAATAAAAAATCTATAAATGAATTAAAAAAATGTATTTAAATAAATGAAAGTAAAATTAAGTATATAAAAGTAAATAATGTAAAATGAGTAAATAATGACAGAAATTTTATTTGAACTATTCCTTTGAATCTTTAGTTCTTATTCTTTAGTTTGGTTCGTTTCTTTAGAAGCATGTCCTTTTGCAGGTCAATTAAAGACCTTCAAATGTTCAATTTCCCATCAACAGAGGTCTCCAATGTACTGCATACAGGTGGATATTGATGTGTATGACAGTGAGTTCACCTGGAAGACCTCGGTCTGGCTGGACTGAGGATGAGGATGAGGATGCGGGTCTCCTCCCTGCTGGCTGTGGTGTTGACTCTGCCACTGAGACCAGACCTCAGACGGCCGGCCCTGGAACTGCCCTCCGCTCTGGCTGCTCTCACCCGACACATCTGGAGAAACCAACACAGACACATTCACAACGGCTCCCAACAGACACTTCTTCAGTTTAAAGATGAATAGACATTACGCCCGAGACACTTCTTCAGCTTAAAGATGAATAGACATTACGCCCGAGACACTTTATAGTGTTTTGGTTCTTTCTGCAATCCCAGCGAACTGCTGCTGTATGGAAAAGAGCTGCGAAGCGGCATTATTGTTAACTAAAACCATTCAAATTCATTTGTTGATTGAAAGCTGAAATAAAACTAAATATTACATGAAAACTTAAAATGAAAATTAGAAACTGAATAAAATAAAAATAAATGTTATTATAGTTAACCAAAACTACTAAAAATAATTTGTTGATTGAAATAAAGCTGAAATAAAATAAAGTATAAACATAAATATTAGATGAAAACTAATTATATAATGGAATAAAACAAAAAAAATTATAAATGGAATAAAATAAAAATAAAATAACTGAAATAAAAATAACTGTTATTACTGTTAACTAGAACTATTAGAAACATGTTAATTAAAATAAAATGTAAAGAAAATATCAATATTACATGAAAACATTATTGAAAATGATAAACTCAGGAAATTTTTTTTTTATTATTGTTAAAATTATTTAAAAATCATTTGTTGATTGGAATAATATAACAATCTTGAATGAAAGATGAACTTTGATGAACTAAAAATTAGGAATTGAAAAAATAAAAATAAAACATCTGGAAAAAAAGCTAACTAAAAATATACAAAATTATTTGTTTACTGAAATAAAACTGACATCTAAATATCAGAAGAAAAATTTAAACTATAAATGGAACAAAATAAAAATAAAATAAATGTAAATAAGTTTAAGTACTAAAATTAAAACTAGAAAAAAAATAAAGCTAAATAGAAATGTTAAAAAAGCAAGCTAATACAAATGTACATAAAATTACTAAAACAAACTAAAAGTAAAATAAGAACTGAAAGTATAAAAATAAAAGCTAATTCAATATATAAATAAACAATACAACAGCATATAAATAATACTAAACAACACTGCAAAA